CTAACTGTACAACAGTCCCTCTATTTCATGACACATTCAGCACCAATTAAACTGTACTAACTGTACAACAGTTCTGTTTCATGACACATTCAGCACCAATTAAACTGAACTAACTGTACAACAGTTCTGTTTCATGACACATTCAGCACCAATTAAACTGAACTAACTGTACAAGTCCTTCTCTGTTCCATGACACATTCAGCACCAATTAGACTGAACTAACTGTACAAGTCCTTCTCTATTTCACGACACATTCAGCACCAATTAAACTGAACTAACTGTACAACAGTTCTTCTCTGTTTCATGACACATTCAGCACCAATTAAACTGAACTAACTGTACAACAGTTCTTCTCTGTTTCACGACACATTCAGCACCAATTAAACTGAACTAACTGTACAACAGTTCTGTTTCATGACACATTCAGCACCAATTAAACTGAACTAACTGTGCAACAGTCCCTCTATTTCATGACACATTCAGCACCAATTAAACTGAACTAACTGTACAACAGTTCTGTTTCATGACACATTCGGCACCAATTAAACTGAACTAACTGTACAACAATTCTGTTGCATGACACATTCAGCACCAATTAAACTAAACTAACTACACAATTGTTCTATATTTCATGATATGGTAATATTTCATACTGATGTTAACTTTTTACAGTGTTCTCCAACTTAAAAGTTGAAATTGTAAGCAAGATAACAAGACTTGATTAGTATTTTAATGTGAGAGGTAGATATAAGCTCCATATATTTTGAATTAACTAATGTTTCTCAAATTACCAGTCTGTAGAAGTTGTTCGAGAAAGTGAAAGAGAAATTGGTCAGCCACAAGCAGCTGCTGGTTCTCAGAATACCACATCACCACCCGGATGGCAACACTTCTCTCGTCATATTCAAAACCAATTGGACCAAACCAATAACCTCTGTCAGTCTATCTTACGAGACCAGCAAGCTCTAACTAATATATTCATGTCCTCGCACCCATCTACTGGTACAGGTAACTAAAGTTTAACCCTTTCTGGTTCATAGCAAGCTCTAACTAACATATTCATGTCCTCTCACCCATCTACTGGTACAGGTAACTTTCTGGTTCATAGCAAGCTGTAACTAACATATTCAGGTCTTCACACCCATCTATTGGTATAGGTAACTTTCTGGTTCATAGCAAGCTCTAACTAACATATTCATGTCTTCACACCCATCTA